TAAAATGCTACTGTTGACATTTTAGTGCATTAACAGCCTTGCACCTGCATAACGCTCTGACCTACTTCAACCTTGTGTTCCTTCTTAGGTGCTGAGATCATCTGATCAGCTGCTTTAGGTTGTACCAAAAACAAGGTTGAAGCTCAGAGGAGATTGGGCTTTTTCAGTCATTGGCCCTAAACTTTGGAACAATCTGCCCCCCAACAGTAGACAGGCCACTTCAGTCCCTGCTTTTAAATCTCTCCTGAAAACGCTCCTGTATTCACTGACATTTAACACAGTATGATCTGTTGTTTTTATCCCATTGTTTCTCATTGTGTTTGTGTTTTTTATGTTTTTATTTTTAATTCTATTAATTATGTCTTGTTGTTTTTTTACTCGACACTCTGATTTCATTGTTAAACACTTTGGTAAATGTGCTTTATAAACAAATTGTCACGATTATGTCCCAGTCTGCCATGTTCTGCCTTTGTGTTCATGCCTCAGCCTCTGAGTTGCCTGTCACCCATCCCCGAGTTCTCCCTGCTCTGCTCACTCTTGGCCACCCCCCCTCGTTTTCCCTGCTGCAATTACTCCTCATGACTTCCACCTGCTCACAGCTCTATTTAAGCCACAGCTCTTCAGTCATCCAGTGCCAGATTACAGAAAGTCTTGTGTGAGTAAATATCCAGAGCTTATGCCAAAGTCTTACCTGTATTTCTTGTTTTGATCCCATGCCTGTCTTCTGGATTCTTCACCTTGCATTGCCCTCGACTGTTCTGGACTCTGAAATCTGACCACAGTACTGACCCAGTTTCTGATTATTAGTGATGTGAAAATGAGGCTTTTTGAAGCATTTTGAACCATTGTGTCATAAAGTAGTTCACTACCTGATAGTGATGGGTCAATTAGGCATAATGAAGCTTTTCAACACATTGCCAAACTGTATTGTAGTGATGGTGAGCTGAAGCTTCATGAAGCACTGAGGCTTTCCATCAAATAACTCGACTCATGATCCAATATACCATGGTGCTTCATTTGCTCTACTGTGCCATCAAGTGGACTATAAATATAAAACAGGTAGATGGATTATAATAACAGCACTGGTTTGCGAAGCTTTAAGTTGAATAAAAGAAAAATGACATCATGTTTGTGAGGACCTCCGTCTAAATTTGATCTGCAACTGATCTTAATCTGTCTTTATGATGATGGTGATGATGGATTTTTCTGTCTGCCCCTTATTTCGAATCTCGTGCATACAAACGAGCCGGTTCCTGAATCAGTCACGTGGTACGGCCCACTAGCGAGGCCTCGAATGTCACTACATGCATCATCAATACACGCCTCAATACACGTTCCACATAAATCCTCCTGGATTACTCGACACATGCTTTGAAGCCTCGATGCAGAAGGACACATTACTACTGTATTGATACTGTGTCACTGCATACTGACACCTGCTGGAACTTAAAAATCTTTACAGGCAACTTAATTGACAGACTCAACTGACTGTTTACCCTGGATGTATCTGGGACTTCATTCTCATGCCTAGCCCTATAATGCAGTGATCTTTTTTTTTTCAAGAGACATATTGACAGATCAAAGTCAAGGGGAGAACTGCAATATCACCCCAAGTCACTCAGAGAAAAAAATAGAACAACCCACATAAAAACAAAAAAGAAACACAGCCAGCACATTATCTGTTTGAACAAAATGTACTTTAGTACTGAGATGAGAAGCTGTGGAGCATGTCCTTGACTTTCTGCGGCTGTGGCTGAGTGGTTAGAGCAGTCGTCGTCCTATGCAAGAGTTGGGGGTTCGAATCCACCAGCAGTCACATGTCGAAGTGTCACTGGGCAAGACATTGAACCCCTCAATGCCTCTGATGTGTGTCCCATCAGTGTATGAATGTGCTAAATCACTGATTAGTCTTTTTAGAATGATTTGTTCAATTATCTTTGTAGAGATCTAGTAGTGCTGTATGAATGGGTAAATGAGGGCACAGATTGTAGTGTAAAGCGCTTCGAGTATCTTGAAATAAAATAGAAAGGCGCTATATAAGTACAGTCCATTTACCATTTCTTGTATTTGTAATTTGTTGTTGCAGCCACAGTGAGACATTCAAGATGGGCATGGGTCATTCAGTTTCTTTGTTTTTGTTTGATAGTGTTCATGGTTGAAAATGTTGACTCACAGGTGTCAACATTTTAGATTTTATCTATTACCCCAGTACCATGAAGGAAACACAAGTCAATAATAACAATGAATACCAGAGTCCATGCTCAAAAATGAATATGCTGTAATATGTGTATGGATGAAGATGGCCCCTTCACATTTCTACCTACCCCCTCATGTAACCATGCCTAGAACCGGCCCTGTAATTCTGCAACTTCCTTCACTACAGATGACTGAAGGTGCGGACATGTGCGCGGCTGGTGATGATCAGCTGATCCTTCTGAGGTTAACAGGACTTTTTTTTTATTTTTATTATTACCTCTACCGGTCGATTTGACCTGCCTCCTCATCAACAAATAGATTAATACAATATTATATTGTGCATTCTCATTTTGTCTTTGCGCTGTATGATTCATGAAACCGCATCATAGATGCCCGAGCCGACATGCACAATTATTGCGTAATGAGCCAGCACATTTTAAAAATGTACTGGCTGTGCTGGTGTACTGTTGTAACCAGTCACGAGAGCCACCATAAAGCATGGCGAGCAGCATGTGGCTCGGGGAGCCTCAGCATTGAGGAGGTGGATTTATTTAAATATTAAAGTTCTGTCAAACAAATGTGACATTTAACCGACTGAGAGATGGTGTGGTACCATCGGTTCACCTTCAAAGAGTAGGAGCATCATTATAAGTTCATTAACGTTCATAAAGTTATATATTTTATTGTCAGTCACAAGGTGAGATACCTCCATGTGTTTATGTGTACATGTAACTATAGACTGTAAAGTTCATATTCATTATGCTTTTTCATTTCAGCTTGAAAACTGCAGGACTACAGGAACTCAACAAAAGCTGGAGCTGCTCTGTCTGTGGCCTCTCAGGAACGTGCACATCACACCCACAACCTCGGCCTCATGATGTGAGTATTTCTATTTTAAACTTTTATTTTTTCATTGACCGTTTATTTATCCAGGTAGTCTCATTGAGTCACGAGAACTCATTTTCAAGAGAGACCTGTTTTGGAGCAGATGGTGGGGGTTAAGGGCCTTGCTGTGGGGCCAATGAGGGTGGAGGCAGGTGTGGGTGTTTCACCTTTTCTACCCACATTTTGATGTTGATGGTACCAGGAGTTGAACCTGCAACTTTCCGATCACAGGCCCATCTTCTAACCGCTGCGCCACCACTCTCCCACATAACTGTAGAGGAAACGGTCCTCAGATCGTTAAATTTTTATTAGTAATTTTATTCTGAAGGGGCACCACTTGCTTTCCGGTTCTTAAGCAAGAAAATTATTAATTGGACTCAAGTTTGTGCGCTAGTGAGTTATTTTCTCGTGTTTAAAGGGCATTTGCAGAAAAGATGTTTCTCTTCTCCCCAAGATATGTTGTTCATGTTCATGTTTGTGCTGATGTTCAATGTTTTTATGTTATGAGTGCTTAGTGTATATTTAGTTGATGTTTTTCTTAGTTCATATCTTAGATGTTATTACTGTTTTTCTTGTACATTTTATTGTTGGATGTAACTGGGACCCTGTGTACATAATTTCGCTCCACCACATGTACTACATGGGGTGCGAATGACAATAAAGAAACTCTGACTCTCTGAATCTGATATCTCATTAGGAGGAAGTTTCTTCTCTGAAGTTTACTCAAAGTTCAATGCTTGAAGATGTGACGGAAGTAGTTGTGTAGAAGCATAAGTGAAGAAGTGTAAAAGTGGTATACAAGTGAGACTTAACTTAACTGTCTGTTTAAGTTGAGGTGAACAGTTTCTGAGGTGGTGTTCCGTTTCTGAGGTGGTATTCCCCTACATATTCGTCATGGTATGTTTTGAGTTGTTTAGTCATCTTGTTAAGACACTTTTTATTAAAGGTGAAGGTATTTCTCAGTTGTTTATTCCAATCTTTTATGTACTGTGGGTTGGTGCTTTCACCAGGTTTGTAATATGTGTATAAAGGAAGTGTCATTTGTCGACCATTCATCATCTTAGATGAAGAAATGCCAGTAGATAGATGTGGAGCTCTTGCAGGTTGGAGTTGGCAACAGATCATGCAGTCTCTGATGTAGCTGTTTACATCTTTGTGCATTCCTGGCCAGTAAGAAACCTGTCCTAACACTTTGAGTGTTGCTTTCGCACTATTGTGTTGTGAAGATGGGGTTTCATGGGCATGTGCTATCATCATCCCCCTGTGGTCATGAGGCACCACGAACGAAGGTGAAGTTGTTGGCTCAGGAGCAAATAATAACATGCCCTTGAACATTTTCAGGAAAGGTTTTACCTTAAGGAATGAACAAAGTTCAGGGATTGAGTCAAGTTCCTCTGAGGAGGGAGTGACATGATCTGGATCAGTTAGGTAGTGAATCATCCTTTTGATGGCTGGATCCAGAGATTGAAGCTTAATCATGTCTTTATCAGACAATGCTGGTCCAACTGAGATTGTGTTAGCAGTCGGTTGTAAAAGATCAGAAGAACAGACTGCAGCACATGGATGTGTGAGCGTTTGCACCGCTTGGGTGGGTGGGTTTGGGATAAAATCAGGTGGCCAGGAGGGGTCAAAAGACTGTGTGTTACCACTAGTGGTACTGTTGTTAGTTAACGAGTCTGTGAGATCGTTAACCTGTTTTTTTTGTCCTGACCCCTCTGCGTGGCCTCTCTGAGAATAGATGGACTCTGAGTCAGAGCATCATAGAGATCCCTGTTAGTGTTGAATTTGTTAGTCTGGAGAGACACTGTAGTGTCAATCATATGAGCTCCTTGCAGCTCTAGTGGTTGTGCAGGTGTAACTGACACTACCTCTGTGGCAGGTGTGTTCTCAGTCACCTGATGTTTGTCTTGGGTGGAGAGATGGTTGACCTTCCAGACGTATCCAGTGCCAAGCACTGTGAGTACAGTTCTGGTCCAGCAAAGATGGGCAGGGGTTGGCGCACCTGGGCCCAAACTTTAAGATTCTTAAAATCGATCAAAGGCTGAAAACGTGTCAACAAATCTTGTCCCACCAATAGTGGAAATGTTTCTAAATCAGACACATTAACTGGATGGCTAAGTGTCATGTTACTGATCTTAAACTATATCTGAGTCACAAAGGATACAGTTGTGTTGTTAGACGCGTAAAGTTTGATACCAAGGAGGCACGGCTTAAGAACCAAGATCTTGTTGGCGTTTTGCTGCTGACTGTAGTTTCTTGAACAGGGTGGCTGACATCAAGGTGACATCTGCTGTGGTGTCAAGAAGTGTGTCGTGGGTAAGGACTTTTTCCAGCGTTAGTGAAAAGTAAAACTTTCCTGCGGGCCCCCGTTCGGTAAGGTTACACAAAAATTGGTGACTTGGAGGTTCCTCTGGGAATTCAGAGTAATTGTTCTCGAAATAGAGATCATCAGGGTTCATTTGAACTTCTGAGATTGCATTCAGGGTGTGTGAATAGTCAGTTTGTTGATCTGAAGGAAAACCAATGTCAGAAATAGTTACAATCTGCGGTTGCAGGTTGAAGTTCTACATCTGCAGCTGGTTGGTCCAACTGTTGGTTGGCCAGAGAGATCACTGACCGAAAGTCGGCACCTGTGGTGTCATTGTCTTGGTGCGTTTCATGAAGGAAACATTTAATTATCTCAAGTTCTCTAGGAGTACAAAAAAGTTCAATCTGGTCCTCTGGACATTCAAAAAAACAAAAAACAAAACAAAGCAAAAAAAAATAAAAAATCTAGAAACGTTTCGTCTCTCATCCAAGAGACTTCCTCAGTCTGAGGTGCTGTTTTCAGCTCAGTCTCTTAAATAGCACCTTCTCAGAGTGGATCAACCAGTTTGCTGCTGACAACCAAAACCAGCTGATCACATGCTCAAGAAGGACCATCAGCCTAACAATGGATCATTAGCACACTGATGGCTGTTTACTATTCACAGAGGGCTGAGTGATACTAGCAATCACAGCATTGTAAGAGGGGGACAGTTGAACCCGGAGGCCTCCACCCCTGTTTAATGATGGATGATTTCTTTTCGCAAAGATGGCCTCCTTTACTCCTCTCTCAAACCATCGTTCCTCTCTGTCCAGGATGTGCACATCTTCATCCTTGAAAGAGTGACCGCTGGCCTGGAGATGAGTGTAGGCCGCAGAATCCTGGCCTGATGATGTTGATCTTCTGTGCTGGGCCATCCTTTTGGCCAGTGGCTGTTTTGTTTCCCCGATGTAAGACTGATCACAGCCCTCCTGACACTGAACAGCATACACAATATTACTCTGTTTGTGCCGGGGGACTGGATCTTTGGGATGAACCAGTCTTTGCCGTAATGTATTTTGGGGTTTAAAAGCCACTGGGACGTTATGTTTAGAAAATAAACGTCTCAGTTTCTCTGATACCCCCTCAACATACGGAATGACCACTGGTCTGGGTTCCTCCTTTTCACCTGATGGCTGACTGGAGTCCTGTTTGGGTTTCTTCTCTGCTTTCAGGAAGGCCCAGTTAGGATATCCACATTGCTCTAGAGCCTGTTTTGTGTAGGATTTCTCCTTCTGCCTGGCTCCCGAGCTAGTGGGGATGCTGTCTGCTCTGTGATACAGAGTCCTGATGACTCCTAACTTGTGCTCCAAAGGGTGATGGGAGTCAAACTGCAAATACTGGTCTGTGTGGGTGGGTTTGCGGTACACCTCGGTTTGCAAATGTCCTCTATCAGAGACTGAGACCTCACAGTCCAAGAAAGCCAACTTGCCATTTTTTACATCTTCTCATGTGAACTTGATGTATTTATCCACAGAGTTGATGTGGTCAGTAAAATGTTGGACTTCCTGAGATTTAATTTTAACCCAGGTGTCGTCAACATACCTGAACCAATGACTTGGTGG